TNTNNTNNATTTATTAAAGAGATAAATCAATAATATTTATCACTTAGATAATAAATAATAAATATTTACATGTAAAAAAATAAATAATAATATATTTAAAAATATAAGTCAGAATTTCAAATAAAGTAAAAGGAGGGATAACTCATTTTTTAAAAAAAAGTTTCTAAATATTTAATATATTGATAAGTATCTCCATGAGAATAATCATACCATTTTAATTTTAAAAAAATTGGCAAGTTTGTGAGAGAGATAAATCCGGTTAGACAAATGATTAATTTGTTAGGATATTATATTAATTGTATCATAAAAAATCGGTTAGATAATGTAGATAAAAAAATATAATACTAATTAGTTTGTTAGAAATGTGATAATGAAAACCAAGATAAAATGAAATTTACCCAAAAAAATTGTTTGGAATCTTTTCCTTTAAATGTTTGAATTTACAAATTTAATATCGAAATTCTATTATATCACATAAGGAAAAAATAAATAATAAACGTTTATTAATATATTAAAATATGTAATTTTGAATTTCATATAAAATAAAAGGTATGCTTATTCAAATTTATTTTTAAAATAAAAGTTATGATAAACATTTATTGATTCTCTTTCAAATATATTAATAAAATAAAAATATAAATCTAAACAAATTCAACCAAAAAAATCGGATTGATTGGCATAAAAAAAAGAAGTGAAATCGAATTTGAATGCTAAAATCGCAACAGTAATTGAATGCTAAAAGATTCGATTTGATTGGTTACCTAATTGTATGGGCTGAAAAAATTCAAAAAAAAAAATTACGAATTGAAGAAGCGGGAAAAACACTATATTGAAGCGGGAAAACGAAATGATTATTTCGGATTGTTCAAATAATTTTTCTTCTCCGTATTATATAGTAATAGATTTCGAGTTAAAAGAAATGTTCATGTTCCTAATATTTGTTACATCACACGCGAGTCATATCACCGGTGAGAATAAAATTTGATACGACATGACTAGAGGTGGCCAGTCAACGAGCCATGACCCGGTCCGGCCCGGCCCGCCGGGTCGGCGGATCTCAAAACTTAGGTCCGTGACCGGCCCCCTTATATCTAAGGATCGGTTCATTGAACTGGCCCGGCCCGGCGGTTCAGTAAACCGCCGGTTAAAAAAAAATAAAAAAAATAAATAAATTTGTACTATGACCTGTAGGAAAATCCGGACCCGGCCCGGAACCGAACCCGGCCTGGCGGGTCAAAAATGGGTACCACATGACCCTTAACCGGCCCTTAGGGAATTATGTGCCGGTTCAAAAACCGGCTAGGGCGGGCAGGTTCCGGGCCGGTCCGGGACCGGTTTCTGGCCGGTTCGCGGGTCGGGCCAACCCGTGGCCATGTCTAGACATGACTAAGATACAAATAGAATATATAATAATAAAAGATGAATTACGTAGTGCTATTAAATTAAACGAGTCTAGTTTGGCTCGGTTTGAGTTTGGTTCATTAAGACTTAAGTTTAACTTGACTCATTTGATAAACGATTCAAACTCGAACTCATTTATTAAAAAATTGTTTGGTTAACGAGTCGAACTCGTCTTAGTTTGATAAGGTTCGATAAATATGAGTGCGGCTTCCATCTGCGTGGATAGTCTCTTTTCCCGATCTGCTGCTTTTTTTTCTCGCCAATTATGTTCACCGCTCTGTTATGCGTGTGGTCTCGTAAATAATGCCTCCGTGGCGTGTCCTCCTTTCCGCAAATAAATCCCAGTACCACTACCGTGTGCCCTGGCACACCTAGCTAGGTGTGCCAGGACAGTATTACACGCGCCACTCACTCTCAAAAAGCTAGAAAATTTAGAAGGTGTAGTGCACTCTCCCAATTTTTCTTTTTTAATGAAAAAATGAGACATATTACATAAATTAAAATATCATTAATTATTTATATTAAAAAATAAAAAATAAAAATACCAAAATTCATAATTTTTCATTATTTAATAAATAGAAACCACATTTGATAGGTTTTTTAACACAACTAATTTTCGTTTTTTGGTAACATGTTCACCTTATTGTGTATGTAACATGTTCATTTTATTCTATAACATGTTCATTTTATTATGGAACATGTTCATCTTATTCTATAACATGTTCATTTTATTATGTAACATGTTCATTTTATTCTATAACATGTTCATCTAATTTTCATCTGTGAAAATGTAACATTTTCATCTTATTAGAGAGGATTTTGGTTTGTGAAGGTGGAGGATATTCGATCGAAAGACTAATTTATGAAATTTTTTTTACATTCTACTAGTTTTTCACTTTCATTCCCTATAGTATGACTATTGCATAAATTTGAGTTCTTATATGTAGATTATGGTTTATTATTTCAGGGCGGGGGTGCTTGCATTAAACGAGTGAAAGTCGAGCAAGAAATTGACCAGAATTTTGTGTATGAAGTGGAAATTGGAGAAAATAATGTGAGAGCCCGTGATGTAGATATGGAATCTAAACATGTTCATCTTATTCTATAACATATTTATTTTATTATGTAACATGTTCATCTTATTCTATAACATGTTCATTTTATTATGTAACATGTTCATCTTATCCTATAACATGTTCATTTTATTATGTAACATGTTCATCTTATTTTATAACATGTTCATATAAATTTCATATGTGAAAAATGTAACATTTTCATCTTATTAGAGAGGATTTTGGTTTGTGAAGGTGGAGGATATTCGATCGAAAGACTAATTTATGGAATTTCTTTTACATTCTACTAGTTTTTCACTTTCATTCCCTATAGTATGACTATTGCATAAATTTGAGTTCTTATCTGTAGATTATGGTTTATTATTTCAGGGCGGAGATGCTTGCATTAAACGAGTGAAAGTCGAGCAAGAAATTGACCAGAATTTTATATATGAAGTGGAAATTGGAGAAAATAATGTGAGAGCCCGTGATGTAGATATGGAATCTAAACATGTTCATCTTATTCTATAACATGTTCATTTTATTATGTAACATGTTCATCTAAATTTCATCTCTGAAAAATGTAACATTTTCATCTTATTCTATGACATGTTCATCTTACTCAATAACATGTTAATCTTACTATGTAACATATTTATCTAATTATATATTTGCGTCATAATCTTCCAATAAGATAAATTAATTGTAAAAAATGATAAATTAATTGTGTTCCAATGTTCATATGTTCATCTTACTATATAACATGTTCATATGTTCATCTTATTTTATAACATGTTCATATGTTCATCTTATTGTGTAAATATGTAACATGTTCATATGTTCATCTTATTGTGTAAATATGTAACATGTTCATCTTATTTAATAACATGTTCATCTTATTATGTAACATGTTCATCTTATTGTATAAAATGTTCATCTAAATTCCATCTGTAAAATTATAACATTTTCATCTTATTCTATAACATATTCATTTTACTATATAACATGTGCATCTTAGTATGTAACATGTTCATCTTATTATATATTTGTGTCATCACCTTCCAAAAAGATAATTTAATTATAAAAAATGATAAATTAATTGTGTTTCAAAACTTATCAAATGTGGTCTCTATTTGTAGAGATTGAAAAATTATGAATTTTGGTATTTTTATTTTTATTTTTAATATAAAATGTGAATAATAATTTAATTTATATAATATGATATGTAAAATTTATTTTCCAATATATATTGGACACTTGTCTTTTTTAAACGAAAAAAAAAAACTTGCATACCTTATTACCTTACCTCACGCGATTTTAAGAGAGAGTGCATTTCACACATACTCTGGCACACCTAAGTATTTACGAATAAATCCTGCTTGGATCTCAATTCCTAAGTGCCCATCCAATTCCACGATTATGTGGCTCTCTTTTTTTTTAATTAATTCTAATATAATACCAAGCCCAAATAATCCTCCTCAATTCTTTTTAATTCTAATATCAAGCCCAACTAAATCCTTCTCAATCTTGATTTTGGGCTTCGTGTGTTCTCTGCATGGCGGGCTAAATTGACGGGTATTGAAAAAGCCCAACAATTGATCAGATGAAATCTCGTCCAATGCTCCGGATCCACAAAATACTTTAAGATCTTAAAAATAACACATAAAATATCAAAGCAAATAAATCCATCCAAATAATAAATAAGTCTAAAAATATAAACGTGCGAATAAATTAAGTGTAGAAAAATACACCATTAGATATATAAAACGTGCACATTTTTTAACTTATCTTTGAGTTCCAACACGTAACAACATCCGGTTTGAATTCTTTAGGTGTTATACCTTTTTCTTTAAAAATATGTCCTCATTTTTTTATTTCTTTCGGACGACGATAAGTAAGTAATGACATTCCTAATGGGCGTGATCGGCTCTTTCAGAGTATG